GGGCCAGGAAGAAAAACTTTCTCTTTTTTAGCAAAAAATAGTTAGTGTGAACTACTGTGCACTCCGCCTTGGACAACTGAGAAATTACATTCCGGTCCATCTAATGCACTCGACACCCAGCTTGACATGGGCGCACGTGCTTAAGCTACCCTAGATAACTGTTGATTTCCTCTCCTCTCAACTGTTGAAAGACGGTTCTAGCAGTACTAGCAAGTAAGCCTCTTCATTGATCTGTAGTAGACGGCAAATGCCTTGAGCCAGTTTCTCCTTTGCAACGCTCCTTGGCACCCTTTTTGATTGGAGCCGGATGTGGTTTCGAAGTCGTGTATTCAAGATTGGTAGAACAAGGACTAGGTCCCCCAGTAGAGACATTAAAAATAAATTCAAACTTTTTTCTGTAGTCTATTTTAGTAGGGGAACCCCCCCAACCAAAAAAGGCTGAGAAAGGGCACCTAGCTGGGGGACCTGGAGGCGTGTGGCCGGAAGCCTTGCTTTTCTGTCAATGGGATCGCCGGCTCGAGAAATTGGAGCCTTACCACGGAACAGGACAATCTTCGCGTCGCTTGCCGTGTTGCGCATCACATCCCATTGTAGTTTCGCCAGGGCTCCCTTTCATGGACTGTGGCCGAGCCAACGTCGCGCTAAAAATTGAACTGCTGGAACTGCCCTGGCTTGCGGATTAGCAGATTACATGGTTTTTTTCCCCCCACTCAAGGAGCGAACCAATTGAAACACTGAAACAGGTGATATGGTGGATGACTGTGATTAGGCACGTGCCAAGTTGCCCCTCTCCTTGCTGTCCCAGGGGTAGCCATTCACGGTCCTGCCAGTTGGGAGATAAATTCACCTCCTGAAACATGCTTAAATCACCGCATCAGCAACTCCTTTCAATTCCCCTTAAACAATTCAACCAAGGGAGCCACCGTCTGGTTTCAACAATCTTAACCAAACCCTGCCTTCCGCTCTGCGGATCTTCAGTCGCACCCTCAAACAGAACCTGCTTCTGCAGCGTGTTCAAGACGGATGCGGCCCTCCTTAAGCAAGCAGCCGGCTCGGGGATTGCAAAGACGAGGGTTGGTTCACACCATGAATACCAACTCAGGTGAGGTGTGGCAACTCATGATACCCTTAGCTTGCAATGAGGGCACTTGCGAATTGAATATTCAGGACTGCACCAGTGTTCATGCTCAACAAGCTCCATTGGGCGAAGACACTCGAGGTTCACACACCCAACAGGTGCACAGAGCCTCCGACAGGGCCGAAGGAGAGCCACTCACAGCGACTCGATATGGGAGCCTTGATTCATCCTAAGGGGTGGGAGACACTGAGGGAAGCATGTTCCGAGTCAAGGACGAGGTCTACCAATGCCATTCAAGCACTTTGGCAATGTCGAGATTGCAGTGTACGTAGCAAACAGCAACCATTTACGATGAACAAACAAAAATGGGGCCCCGAGCCTGCTCTACCCTCAGTTGGGCTATGATTGACATCCTCAGATTTAGAGAGAAACCACAAGGAGCTTAAACAATAAAACAACAAAAACAACATGAACAAACAAAACAACCGCATCATTATGGACACAACAAACATACACAAACAACCACACCATCAACCAACCAATCAAACCAACAAATAAACAAACAAACAAACAAACAAAGAAACAAGCAAACAGAGAAACAAACAAACAACCAAACAATCAAGAAACACACACACACACAGAGAAACATACAAACAAAGAAACATACAAACAAAAAACACATACACATGGACTAATAGACAAACCAACAAAAACAAGGAAACAACACACAAAAACAACAAACAAACACGCAAATCCCGCATTGAACAGCCGTTCCGAGCTGCTCCAGCTCCGCTGCCGCCATCGTGCCATTGACGCCCCACTGCGGAGCCGCAGTTGCCGCCGCCAAGGCGCCGCGACGCGAGAGGCCCTGAGGGAGCCGCATTCGGCTGCAAATGTATCATGTGGCTGTGGCTCAAAAAATCGTACCTAAGATGGCACCTTGGTAAATGCAACCAAAGGCCAAAACCTGCATAACCCTAGCTCGGTAATTTTGAGCCACGCCCATGTACATGATATAAGCTATGTATACACAATATGTATATAACATATATAAACACACCAGATGTGTTTGTCTTCAAACAAAAGACAACACAAATAATAATATAGTATCTATACAAAGTAATATTGTTCAAGCTCATGATTATTGTCATTAACATGACTATTATATACTATTGTCATACATGCATATCTTTATTACATGTATAAATCTATTTTTACATATCATATAACATGTATAATCTCAAGCATCATACCACACAGGGGAACTCAATCCAATTTGGCCAAGATAAGACCCCCAGGCCAACGCAGCAAATACGTGCAAGGCCCGAGCACTTTGAAAGCCAGGGGGGAACTGTGTTCCTCTGCACTTCCCCTGCTTCGCAAAACAAGATTGACTTCAGCAAAAGCCTTCGGCAACTAACACATTAAGTGAAATGCCGAGAAACAAGAACTATCGCTGTGAGTGTTCTGTAGCACATGTCAACTGCACATCTTGGTGAGGCTTTTGTTGCCAACTGGCATGCTCAGGCGCAATTCTGGATGGTGAGCCAGCTAGGAGCGGCCAAAGCCGCAGTCGAAATCTGCGCACCCCCCAGTTTTTCGTGACCCGAGCAGACAAGCGAGCCTTTTTGGAGCTGACCATTTTTAGTGAACACCCACCAAAAACAAAAATTAAACAAGGGTTCTGAAGTGGGTAGACGAAACAGATTCGCATGGGCTCAACAGGTGTCCTGGGCCTTCGGTGCTGCATAGAGCATGTAAAATGCAATCCGGTACCTCCGCATCTTAGGGGTCGGATGTGCTTCATATCCTCCAACAACCACGTGTGTCAAAACAAAAAAAAACAACTCGAAGGAACCTATAAGACTTTGTGGCCTTTCCACATAGACAAGGCTTCTCCCCAAAAAAACCGTCATGGTTTCGACCAACAAGCCCATGTGGAAGCAGAACGCTGCGCGACAGACCATATGGTATCTCAAGAGACCCTGTTTGCCAGCCACGTGATTCTTGGTTTGCCCAAACTCAACAGGCTAAAGGTTCTCCACGCGAGGGTGTGAACTCAACGCTTGAAGAATATCCATGCAGGACCTTATGAATCAGCAGCAAATTTGGAACCGGAAGCATTTGAAGAAAAAGACTCGTGCCAATCCCTTCCGAGAATTTCCCTCATAGTCGTTCCATTTTCAGCACCAACAAAGTGGCTTGGTCCAGAGTTTGCCTCAGTTGTTTGAAACCTGTCGGTGCCTGCGAGTTTGGCACCAAAGCAAACGAGCCGTCACACAACCCGAACAGCCTTACTGGAGACAGCACAGCACGGTCCAGTATATTTGGGTATGGCTCCAAATTGGACATTCCAACATGGATACACGAACAAATTCCACCTAGATCATGCACCTGCAGGCAAAAAACCACTTAAGTGCTCAGCTGCCAAGGCAAAGCTGCTCGGCGCAATCCAGAGGAGAAGGCCAAGAGCGACACACCTGGAGCGCAGGGCGGTCCAATGCCAGCGGATGGACCTAGGGCTGTGGGACTCTCACCTATGCCCAGGGGCTTTCTCCATAGCCAGTCTTGGAGGTTCAAGACAAAGCTGCTTGCTGAAAGAGTTCAAGAAAGCCAGCTGGTCTGTTTCTTTCACCCTGGAATCTCTCGCCGCTCTCGTCCTGTTGTGATTCCCATTCAACAAAAAAACGTTCTCGAGTCATGAAAGTGGACGACAGGGCTGTTCAAGAAGGTTCTAGCTTTGCAAAGCCCTGCCGTCCTGTCCCCTTGCATGATTGTCGGACAAAGGGTACTTGAGTCACAATCAAACCCGGTATGAAAATGGTTGACCCAGAACCATGTATAGAATTAAGAAGGCGGACGTCCGCAGCTATTTATGGTTGGGATTGTCCCTTACGAACCTTCATCTACCCAGGTTTACTTTGACCCATACCCATTTGACTAGTCACTTCTGCTGGTCTCTGCCTGTTTGGTGCACACCGCAGACAACGCGCATTGACTTTTGGTCCTACCAACATACAAACAATTCTCTGGGTGCAAACTTTCAGTGGGGGATCGGAAGTGGTGGACATCACGGGGATTTATTTCCAACCAATGTCCAACCATTTGGGATGGTCTGCCCAGTTCATAGCCACAAGAAGTGGATAGAGATTGGCTCAAACAGGTACAGAGGCCCTTCTGGGGTGTTGGGGCGCTAATTCTCTCACTGCCTCTTTCCTTTTCTGGCCCTTCACGGGACCAAGCAGAGCCAACTTCCCCATTCCCCCAGTTGCCACATATTTTTCTGCAACAAATGACAATGGAACCTCAAAAGGGGTCGAGCCTCAAAGAGGAGATTCTGGCAGCTTGGGTGATGCTAGTTAATCCCAGCAAAGCGAATGGGCGGACTTTCACTCGGGTCAACCTCTTCCGACTTTCACATTCGCCTTACTGCGCAGCGCCATCCGTTTAATGCGCGGCGCGCCATTGGCGAGAGAAAATCTCAGGTCGAGCTGGTTGCTGCCTATTCGCCATGTGGTTGCCTAACAACCCCAAAAGCTACTAGAATCCTCAACACAAGATGAGGCAAGGGCCAGTGCAAACCTCTTGAGCCATTGCCATTAGTCAACCAGCTGGACGGCCTGCCATCTTGCCTCAAGACAAAGATAGTCTTCACATGCCTCTCTTTTGTCATCCCAAAGGAATTCAAAGACTGGTATTCCTCAACAGACTGCTCACCAGGGCCTTGGGTAGTTGTTGCTGATCTATGCATACCAATCAATCCCTTTTGACTCGGCGTCAGTCACAAGGACTGGACTGCTCATACATCTATTAGGAGCGTCCAGTTGCCCCCAGTGCCTCTTCTCTGAGAAGGTCTCTGTTCGATCCAAGGGCACAAGCGAAACATAGCGAAACTAACACACATCCGACAAGCTTGAGTCTCCTCCAGCAAAGGACCAACCTCAGCGCCAGAAAGCGCGGAACGTCAGCCACACTTCAAGGATTGTGAGTTAAATTTGCTGGTAGCATGTTGAAGGGTGCCTTTGCATTGCGTGAACACCATACAACAAAATAATAGCGCCTTTCTTAACACACGAAAACGTTATCCTAGCCTCAACGACCAAACAATCGGTGAGAAAGCTGGCACAACAGCATCGATCAATGGATGCCAGCTAGTCACCAAGAACCCATGTCAGAAGAAGCCCAAAGTACATTATGACAATAGCTTCCATGATATGAAAGCTTTGATGGGAGATTGTTCTTCCCCCAGTACCCGCAACAAACAATTAATTAAACAAACACACAAACAAACAAACACCCACTCACGCACGCACTCACGCACATGCACATGCACATGCACATGCACAGGCACAGGCACACGCACACGCATAGCCACCCACCCACCCACCCACCCACCCAGCCACCCACCCACCCACCCACACACACACACACACGGTCTCGCGCGCGCGCGCGCGCGCGCACGAGCACGCGCACGCGCACGCACACGCACACACGCACAGGCACACACGCACCCGCACACACGCACACACGCACGCACGCGCGCACCCACCCACACACACACACAGCACACACACACACACACACACACCCGGAGAGGACAGGCTTCACGGTTCTGCTTTCGGAACCTGCGTCTGATTGCCAACATAAGCAGCGTGAAAGGCATCATTTCTTAGGGCCTTTAGGTCGAAAATCTTGCAAGGAATCATATCCTTCAACTTGCGGTCAGGTCTATCAACCGCCATGTATGCCAACAAACGCGCCACAGAAAACAAACTTCTTGTTGCCGCTGATCAAAGCCACTCCCCATGGGCAAGCTCCTCGCATGTTCTCGTGCAAAATTAATGCTGCTGCTGCAACTGTCAAGTTCATAGTTGCAGTTCAACGGTGCAAACTGCAGGCTATCCTTGCAGTTGTGGTTTGTGGTCTGGCTACCGACTCCCGACTGCATAATTTTGACCACTCGCATTGGCATTCAATTCCAGTCCGGGCTCCCCGGCAAACTCTTCTAGCTCTGTGTCCGTCCATCCGCCCACCACGACTCCTATGCGAATGCTGGAATAGCCACACACACACATGATGGGCACAATGTCAGCCAGCAAGCAAAAACAACTGTGAATCATTGAATGACAAATGAACAACAACAACCACCGGGAGGCTACGGTGCTTCAACCATTGCCAAATGTCAACACAAAGCTGCGCAAGACTTCACGAAGTATTGGCCACAAAGCAAACAACTTGAACGCGTGCTGTGACCGCACGAGCTTTGAACTTCCAAGCAATCCCTCGTCGCACTCTTGAGAGAACACATCTACCTTCCACCAGTCACATAGACGATACCCGGAGGCCTGGCTTCGCTCCTCACCAAAAGAATTACCCGAGACAATCCGCGATCTCCTGGGGGGCCGAAGGCTGCGGGCACCTCAAAGATTGCGGATTTCGGGCGGAAGGAGCCTCGATCGACGGGAAGGCCACAAAAGGCGCTGGAGCTCTGCTCGATCGGGAAGCAGAGAATTCCATATTGCACCGAGGAAAGCATAAATCATGCCGTCTGCAAAGGCGCCTACTCAATTCTTCTCTGCTGGCAAAGTGAACAAGCCACAAATCAAAAAAATCTAAGCTCTACCAGCTACGCACACACACATTGTGTGCATTGTGCTTGCATGTGTGTGTGTGTGCCTACAGCTCTACTTTTGGCCCCTCGCCAGCTCGCTGGAGGCGTCGCCCGCCAGCTGGTAGAACTTCCCCTCGCCTGCGCTCCAAAGCGCCAACAGACGGAACGGCAGCGGAGGTGACGTCAGTTGTCCAAAAATGGGTTTTGGGCCATTTTTATGTGGGGCCCACCCAAAGACAACAGGTCCGTAGGTTTGCCAACCCTGCCAAAAATAGGTACTTTTTGGGCCAGGGTTCATGGGCCGCCCCAGTGGGGCCCGCCAAAAAACAAACGCGGCTAAAAATGGGTACGTGGTTTATGTGGGGCCCGCTAAAAAGAAGGGGGTGTATATGTTTGCCCCAGCAACGAGCAGATCCTGCGTCACGTTTCAGGATGGTGACTGATGTTCTTCGTGACAAGGCAGGATGCTTTGCTCTCTACTCCATGCTCAAATCTTGCGAGCAAGACATGCGTTGAATGCACAGGATGTTTCTTGGTGCGACTTTGCCATCGGTGCTTGTTGCTGGTATTGTGGTACTGAACTTGATATTATCTTGATTGCGTCACGCAGTTTCAGTGCACTCGGCCGAGTCAAATCTGGAAGGATCCACCAGACACAACCACCACATTGAGATGGACGGACCTATGATCTCAGGGCTGAATCACAGTTGTCACAGGGAAGAAACAAGTGGATAAAGCATGCTACCTACACCTTCAATCATTGTCTTGACGCTCGCAAGGGGGGGTTCTTGGAAGGCTTGTCATACACTCTCAAACATGGTGCTTGCAGCGGTAAGGGAGGCCTCGAAAGGAATTTGAATCCAATTTGTAGATGCCGAGTTGTAACTGACTCGACCGCAATCATGTTCAAGTGAGGGTTTTTTTTTTCCCGATAACAGTAAGTACACCAACATGAATGTGCAGCGTTGCTGTGAGATCATAGCAGCTCGAGTGGTGGATCCCCCGCTTGCTGTGTGGAGCCAAACCATTTGGCTGGCGCGAGTCAGATCTGATGCTCCGGCCAGCGCGGCGGCGAACGAGGCGCCTGTGCCGGGCAGTTGAGGTTGATGTCCTCTTGGTTTACCACCCAAACAGGGTTCTTTGGGTGTGCCTTTGTTCGAGGGTAGTCATTTTTTGGTGGGAAGCCAAAAGGAAAACCACCATTTGGTGCGTTGCCCTGAACAAAAACAAACCCCTCTGGCTTTGGCGTGTCTACTACAGCGCAAAGGAGCACTGGGAACCAAACAAAACGCCCTGCCGGGATGTATTTGGCATCTTAGGCTAATCTTTGCTGCTTGCTATGAAAAACAACAAATCAGACAACATTCATGAGGAATGTGAGATTCACGAGCTCCCGGATACATACCTTGCAATGTGGATTATGTTTTGCTATCTGGTCATAAACTCATCGGTGATACAACGTGTAATGAGGGATGGGGTCTAGCTAGCAAACTAACACACAGACACAAACGCATCACAAACTGCAAACACCACACAGGCACCACGCGCGAACACACACACACACAGACTCGAAAACACACACAGACACACGAACAAACAACAAACAAACAATCAAACAAACAAACAATCAAACAAAAATAACACCAAACAAACAACCAAACAAACCAAACCAAACCAAACCAAACCAACAAACAAAACACACACAAACAGACAGACAAACAAACAAACAGATAGACAAACAAACAGATAGACAAACAGATAGATAATCAAACAAACCAAATCAAACCAACAAACACACAAAACACACAAACAAACAAACAAACACACACAACACACAAACAAACAAACAAACAACCAAACAAACAAACAGACAGACAAACAGACAAACACACGGACAGACAGACAGACAGACAAACAGACAAACAAGCAAACAATCAAACACACCAACAAACAAACAAAACACACAAGCACACACACAAACAAACAGACAAACAAACAAACAAACAGACAAGCAAACCAAACGAAACCACACCAAACCAAACCAACCAACCAACCCACAAAACAAACAAACACACAAAACACAAACACACACACACACACACAAACACACAACCAAACAACCCCCCCCGTAAAAAAACACACACACACAAAAAAAAAACAGCACAAAACAAACATACACACAAACAAAACCAAACAAAACCAAACAAACAAACACACAAACACACAACCAAACACCCCGCCCCCCCCCCAGAAAAAAAGAAGAAGAAGCACAAAACAAACATACACACAAAAAAAACAAACAAACACACAAACACACAACACACAAACACACAACCAAACACCCCCCCCCCAAAAAAAACAACAACAACAACAACATCACAAAACAAACATACACACAAACAAAACAAAACAACACCAAACGAACAAACACACAAACACACAAACACACAAACACACACACAAACACACAAACACACAACCAACCACCCCCCCAAAAAAAAACAACAACAACACAAAAAAACATACACACAAACAAAACAAACCAAAACCAAACAAACCAACACACAAACACACAACCACACAACCAAACACCCCCCAAACAAACAAAAGCAGCACAAAACAAACCAACACACAAACACACAACCAACCCCCCCCCCAAGCAAACAAGCACAAAACAAACATACACACAAACAAAACAAAACCAAACAAACAAACACACAAACACACAACCAAACCCCCCCCCCAAAAAAAAAAACAAACAAAAAGGCACAAAACAAACATACACACAAACAAAACAACACAAACCCAAACAAAAAAACACACAAACACACAACCAAACACCCCCCCCCCAAAAAAAAAAAACCAACAACAACAACAACAACAACAACAACAACAACAACAACAACAACAACAACAACAACGACAACAACAACAACAACAACAACAACAACAACAACAACAACAACAACAACAACAACAACAACAACAACAACAACAACAACAACAACAACAGCACAAAACAAACATACACACAAACAAAACAAAACAAAACAAACAAACACACACACCAACACACAACCATGCGCACGCACTCACGCACGCGAGTGCCCCCGCCTGGTCAAAGGCAGAAGGCCTGGCCAGCCCTGAGGCAGACGGCTGTGGGGGAGAAATCCCAGCAGCCCAGAAGCCAAGCGTAAGCTTTTTTGGGTTATAGGGTGTTTTTTTGGTAATAATCTAGGTTTTTTTGTTTTAAGGTAATGATCTAGGGCTTGTTTTTTTGGTCAGACGAAGGGATTTGTCTTGAACTCACTCCCTGAGGCAGATTCTTGGGGCTCTAGGGCTACCTTCCCCATTCTTTCCAAATATCCTCCTTTTCAGGACCATTAAAACCCAGGGAAACATCTGGTTTCTGAAAAGAATGATGGTTGAACAGAATGGGGAATTAACCCCTAGAAATAAGGGATAGCCCCCCCATCCCCAGAACCTGTTGGGGGTCGAAGAAATGGCATGTCCTTGCAAACACTGCACTGTCAGCTTGTGTATTGCGGATGTCGGAGATGATACAAATAAGTCCTTGCTGAACTATTCCCCAACCTCAGGGGAAAGGGAAGGGGCTACACAACAGGTGCGCCTCTGGGCCTCTGGGATACAATGGCATACGGCTGCCGGTCCGCCAGCCCTAGACATCGTCTTTAAA